GACCTTCAGCTACTTCGTCATCAGAGCTACAGGAGGAGTCTTCATCTGTAGTGGAGGAGGAAGAAGAGCTGGAGCTCGATGAAGAAGAGGTCGATGAGGAGGGGTGGGAGGAGGAAGAGGAGGATGAAGAGGCAGCAGGCCGGGGACACAGGTGCCACCACCCTGGGGGACCTACCTGTGCCGGAACACAGCCCTGGGCCTCCCCGGGCACCCTCCGAGGCTCCTGGGGGTCCTGCCAGAGGTGACGGGTGGGCTCCAGCAGCCTGGCAGCTGGCACTCGCCCACCCACAGGGCAAACGCTCCCCAAATGTCCTGTCCCTTGGTGGCTGCACCTCCCCTGCTGTCACCCCCCAAACGGGCATGGGATGGTGGCCACGGAGGAGGTGGAGATTGGGGAAGGAGGTGGGAAGGGTGGAAAGAAGCAGGAGGAAGGTGGCAGGAAAGCGATGGCAAAGCTTGGGCTTTTATTTGGTCCCAAGGGAGGCTGGGTGGGGATGCCAGGCAAGCAGCTGGGTTGGCGCAAGGGTGTGTGAGCAGGTGGAGGGGTGGGTGGGCTGGCCACGTCCCTCAGCCCTGTGGGCCCCTCCACGCAGCCTGTCCTGCTCACTCCAACTGCTGCAGGAAGGCCAGGAGCCCGCGGTGCCACTCGTCGGGCTTGTCCAGGTAGCAGGCGTGTCCGGCACCCTGCAGCACCAGCACCTGGTGCTCGGGGATGTGCCGCAGGTTGTTCAGGCTGGCCTGCCCCAGCTCCACATCCTGGTCCCCATACACGATCAGCGTGGGTGTCTGCAGAGGGGGAATGCACCCTGAGCCTGCCAACGGCACCCAGGCACCCGCTCCTCCTGGCCAGGGACACCCTGGGACCAGGATACGGAGGGGAGATACTTACCCTTCTCCCCTGCCCACCACAAGGGGAAACTGAGGCTCAAACTCCTGGGTCTCCTAATGTCCCCTCTTTCCCTCCTGCTACCCTATGGTTCCTTCACCATCATGTTCCCCTTTTCCAGCGACAATTGGGTTTCTGGCCTGTTTGGTCTTTCCCCTGCCCAACCCTGGTGCCAGGGTCCCCTCCACACCATCCCCTCCCAGTCCCTCGACCTCCCTCAATCTCCCTCCAGGCCATACTTTGATCTGGGTGTACTGCTCCGCCGTGAATTTCTCAGTGCAGATGGGTGCCACGGGCACGTACGCCTTGAGCAGGTGGTTGTGCTGGAAGAGGAAGGGCAGGGAGTACATGCCGCTGAGGGATGGGCTGATCACCACGGCCGGACCCAGGCACAGAGCCTCCGAAACTGCTTTCAGGAAAGCCCCCGGTGCTGGCTGGCCCACGTGCGCTGGGGCCACAGCATCCTTTGAGCGCCCCAGCCCTGAGCCATGGGAGACAGAAGTTGCTCTGTCACACTCTCTGCTGCTTTGAGACAGGGAGAAGCTGGCACAGCAGGACACCAGGGTTGCCATCCCAGCACCACGAATGTGAGCAGCTGTATTGGCTGCCCCCGGCCCCCACCTTGCTCCAGGGCCGTGCTCTCCACCATGCCTTACCCGGCAGGTCGATAGCCACAGCTCGGTAGCCGTTTTCAGCAAGCCAGGGAACC